GATGGGATGGGATGGGATGGGATGGGATGGGATGGGATGGGATGGGATGGGATGGGATGGGATGGGATGGGATGGGATGGGATGGGTACAGTGAACAGGGAAGGGGAGCCGAGATGAGGATGGTTTGGGGATAAGACTGGATTGGGAATGCAGATGGGATGTGGATGCAATGATAGGGATAAGGACGGGGAGAGGGTTAAGGATAGGGATAGACACAACAACACGGATCAGTGGGATGGGAAAAGGGATGGAAAAGCTATGGGATGCATCCTGACTCACAGCTGCAGGAAGATGACCTGCAGGCCTGGCTGGGAGCAAGGGTGGACAGCTGAGCATGAAGCCAGCACGGACAGCACAGCCGGTGGGACCACAGTGGCCTTTCATCTGGACATTGTGGTGATCCCTGTCTCCTCAAAGACCCTCTGGAAGGCGACCTGGAGGGACACGATGGAGCAGTGCCTCCAGCAGCTCCCCACCAAGAAGTAGATGAAGGGGTTGATGCTGCTGTTGATGCAGGCAAGAAGGAAAACCACCTGGGAGGACACAATGGTGTAGCTGAGCTGCTGCAGGAAATTCCAGAGGCTGAGGGGCACTCCAAAGATGAGGAAGAAGAGCACCGTGAGGAAGATAACAATGTAGAGTCTCTTAGGCTGACGTCTCTTGGAGCCACACTGGACCTTGATGAAGAGGATCACATTAGAGATGACCATGGGTGGGGCAAAAATGAGGAAGCTGAGGGCATACATGGAGATGAGAGCCACCCGGCAGTGCTCATGCTCCTGCGACAGGCACAGGGAGGTCACCACGACCACGACAGCGATGGAGAGGCCCCAGAGCACGGCACACACCACCCATGACAGGCGCTGGGGACGGCGGCAGCGGTACCAGAGGGGGAAGAGGATTGAACCACACCTCTCGATGCTGATGGCTGTCAGCAGGTACAGCCCCATGTTGTAGGAGAGCAGCGACAGCAGGAGAAGGGACCTCAGGTACTTCAGGGACACGACAGTGGAGCAGGACACATCCTCCAGCAGGTAGAGCAGGGAGGAGGGGACCATGAAGAGCAGGAAGGTGAAGTCAGCGACGGCCAGGTTGAGGATGTAGACAGTGATGGGGTTCCTGCGGATGTGGAATCCGAGGAGCCAGAGCACAGCCCCATTCCCGGCCAGCCCACAGAGGCAGATGAGCAGTGTGACACCACCTATGGCCACATCGGTGACATCGATCTCACAGAAATCATCTCCTTCGGTGTCCATCACAGGAGATGAGGGAGGTGGGGAGGTCTGGTTCAGCTCCATGGTGGAAGGTGGGATGTGGTCCCCAGCTGTGGGTCAGGGCAGAGGGGGGTTAGTGGGATGTGACAAGGAGGGGGATCCTGGTGAGGTGGCACAACAGGGCTGGGGACAGGGGGGCTGTGGGATGGCTGGGCGTGAGGTAAGGGCGGAGGGAGGGTTGGATCAATCCAGTCATCCCGATTAAGGACAACTATGGGAGCGGTGAGAGGGGCTTTGGGGACATCCAGGGAGAAACAAGCAGTGCCCAGGGCTGGACTCTGGTCCCAGCCCCCTACCTTTCTTTGGGGCCAACCTGTTGGTGTGTCCGAGCAGGGCAAGCTCCCTCCTTCCGGTGCTTCTTGCCACGGTCTTCTCCAGTGCGGAAAACTGGGGTCTCCACGTCCTCAGAAGCTCCAAGCAGCCTATTTGTCCCCAAATAAAGCTGCTTTTTGGGGCGTTTCTGCACAATCACGGGTCAAACACTGAGAGCACTGGGCAGCTACACACAGGCTGCCTCTTCTCCCGTCAAAATTCTGTTTTGCGGGAAAGGAAATGTTTTGTCCGAGCAAATACCCAGAGGACAAACACTGCAGCAGTTACATCTCACTTTGAAAGAATCTTGATGCTTTTAGGATTCAACCTGATATCTCATTAGACTGGTAATTGCCACCTTCCTAATTGTTTGATGTTGCTCCAGCCTCCTCTCCCCATGCTGCCCCGATGCTGGCATCCTTCTGAGATTGTTCATTACCGCATCTGTGCATTTTTCTCCCAGCCTCCCAGCATGAGAATCCCTCTCCTCCGATTCATCCTGCACCAGGCCTGGGGGAGAGTTTGGAATTTGTTGCCTGAGCCATCACTTTGGATTCACTCCAGTTGGTCTGGGGGCTCCAGAGCCCTCCTGGACTGGCTGGTACCCACTGAGAGAACCTGGAGAGGCTGGTGGCAGATGGGGGAATGGCAGGGGACAGCACACACGACCCCACATCCCTCCCTGCAACCCCACACCAGAAGCACCCATTCAGCCCCACCAAAGTTTTGGGGTGGCAGAAGAGGGGAGAGGGTCTTGGGGACATCCCAACAGGGGCATGGGGGACATCACTGCTGGGATGGCATGTCCCCGAGCAAGGCAGGGTGTCACAGCCTGTCCCACCCGTGTTGGGATCACTAGGAAAAGACAGAAGCAGGTGGGTGCCCCTCACGCAGGTGTGGCTGAGCTGGGTGCCAGGGACAGAGACTCCAGCATGGCACAGCACGGGTGTGACAGCAGGGGTGGCAGTGACAGCGGGGCCAGGGCAGTGAGTCACCCCCCACCGGTGCCTCACTCCACCCCTGGACTTTGCCTCCTGCGGATGCTCAGGGCAATAAATCCCAGGCTGGGAGGCGGGAACGGGGCGTCGGGGAGGGCACAGGGGTCCCGTCCCTGGGGGCTGCGCTGTGCAGGGGGATCTGCACGAGCAGGGCTGGGATGGGGAGTGGCATCAGGAGCGGGATGGGGATCAGAGTGTGCCAGAGGCAGCGGGCAGCAGTGCGAGGGAGCGTCGCGCAGGCAGGCAGGACACGCAGGTGGCAGCGTGACGCTTCTGCACCGCGAGGCCCTGCCGGGAGAAGGTCACCCGTGTGCCAGGACACCTGTACGTGTGTCCCGGCTACTGTCACCGCCGCGGCCCCAGCCCCGCGGCGGGCGGGCCCGGCGGGCGGGTGACAGCCGCACCCTGGAGCGGGCGGGTGCCTCCCGCCTCCCCGTCCCCATCCCTGTCCCCAACGAGGCCACTCGGGCTCCGTGGCCTCAGCGGACGCCCCCATGCAGCGGGAGCGCGGGGAGCAGAGCGCAGGAGCCTCCGAAACCGAGGTCAAGGCTGTCATCGTGGGGGATGGCGGCTGCGGGAAGACGTCGCTGCTGGTGGCCTTCGCCAAAGGGGACTTCCCCAAGGTACCGGGATGCCTGTCCCCTGGTGGGTGGGTGACACTGTCCCTGTGCGGGAGTGGTGACGGGCAAAGGGCGGTGGGACGGACACGGTGGCGGAAGCGGGGCCGTTTGAAGTGGGACATGGGGACATGGGGGTAGCCCAGCCTGGGGCTGATGGGGGCCTGTGACGCCTCTCTCTCTTGGGGAGTCATGGGGAGGAGCAGGGTTTGTCCCTCCGGGAGGGCACATAAGGGACTCAGGGAGTGCAGGGAAGGGGGGCAGCTACAGAGACCCCAGAACCCCTGTCCTGAATCCCCACGTGCCCTGGGATGGGGGACGAGGGTGGGTCCCATCCCACTGCCCCCATCCCACTGCCCCAGGGAGGAAGCACCATTCCCACTCCCTACTTCCCTCCCTGTGCTCTGTTCTGCCCCACTGGGGTCCCCTCTGTCGCTGCCCCCCACAGCTGCCACTGTGACCTGTATCCCTGTCCCCTGCCAGGTCTATGTCCCCACAGTGTTCGAGAAGTACACGGCGTCCCTCCAGGTTGACGGCAAGCCCGTGAAGATCCACCTGTGGGACACAGCAGGTGGGACAGGAGGGCACAGGGCGGGCAGTTGTGCCCCCCACTCTCCCATCCGGGCGTTTTGGGGTGCCCCACACTCGTGGTTATGCCTTGGAGGGGTCTCCCCCTCCAAGGGGTCCCCATGACCATGGGAGAGGGGGGTTAACCCACAGCCATCCCCACAGATGTCACTTTCACTGTCCCAGGCTGGCATGTAATTGTTTCCTTCTCCACCCGGCAGGACAGGAAGACTATGACAGGCTTCGCCCTCTGTCCTACTCAGACGCCAACGTTGTCCTCATGTGCTTTGATGTCACCGACTCCAACAGCTTTGACAACATCCTAACAAAGGTAATGCCACCCCGGGGTGCTGCCTGTCCCCTGTCCCCATCCCTGGGTGGCACGTGCCCATCCCGGGGTGACGTGTCCCCCCACAGTGGTACCCGGAGGTGAACCACTTCTGCAAGGGGGTCCCGGTGCTGCTGGTGGGCTGCAAGACGGACCTGCGGCAGGACCAGGAGGTGCTGCAGAAGCTGAAGGACGGACGGATGCAACCCGTCTCCCGCCAGCAGGTGGGTGTCACTCCCAGTGACACGGCACGGGACAGGACAGGGGTGGTCCCCAGCAGCAGACAGTGCGACAGCAGGGTCCCGTGGCGGGGTCTGACTCTGTGTGTGCCCACAGGGAGAGGCCATGGCCCGGCAGGTCCGCGCCGTGTCCTACATGGAATGCTCGGCCAGGTACCAGGATAACGTCGGGAACATCTTTGTGAGAGCCTGCCATGCCGCCATCAGTGCCGCCCGCCGGAGGCAGCGCAAGGCGGGACCCAGGAGGGTCTGCGTGATCCTCTGAGCCCCCCGGCAAGGCACAACCCCCCGGGATCTCCTGCTGTCCCCGAGCTCCGACCGCACCACGCCTGCTGCCGCACCTCTGCCTCCGCCACCACCGGAATGCCGCTGCCACCCTCCCGACCGGGGTTGGCACGGCTGGTCACCACGGGGGGACAGCAGGAAAGCTTTCCTTGGCACGAACTGTCACGCCTGGATCCCAGAGACCTGTGCCACCACGGCTGCCAGCATGCCCTGCCAGCCGGGCTCTGGGGGCAGAGAACTGATTTGGGGCTCCCCTTCCCGCTGGCAGGCCAGCGCCGGAGGGTGGCGCGGGGTGACTGCAGGGTGATCTTCTGCCATTAAAGTGACACAAAACTCATCGGCGTGAAGGGTCCCTGGGGCAGGAGCAGCCCCTGCACGGCCTGGGGACAGCAGGGACTCCGGGCGGGCGTCAGGGACATGTTGGGGTCCCACCATGGGCCCCGGATGGATGAGAGACCACTGGGATGGGGTCACCTGCTCATTTTGGGTTGAGGTGTATGTGAGCATGTCCAGGTATGTCCTGCACATACAGGTCTACAACCTTATATATAGTTATACATATATGTTTATATATATATATTACCATACAATGTATACCTAACTATATAGCTGCTTTATAACCACCCATATGACTATATTTACTTTATATGCCACTGCATACATTTAGGTTATGACTATCTATATAACTATGTATAGTTTATAAAAACATTGTTAATGTCTGTAGCGTATAACTACTGTAAGGAGCTGTGCGCAGTTACCCAGGCGGATGTAGGTACCTGCCGGTGTCTCTGCAGACCCCCACACAGCCGTGCAGGCAGCCGCGAAGCCCGCGGGGACACCGAGGGGCCACGAACCTCCCAAAATCCCACCGGGGCTCCCCCTCGCCGGCCCCCCCCGCCAGGGGCGTGGCCACGCGGCGGAGGGGGCGTGGCCACGCGGTGGGCGTGGCCTGTGTGTGAGTGGGCGTGGCCGGGCCCGAGCCGCGCGGGCGCGGGGCGGGGCCGGGCTGGGGAGCGCACGGCGCAGGCGCGGCGCGCGGGTTGCCGGGGGGGGGGAGGGGGGCGCCCGTGCGTGCGGCGCGTGCGCGCCGCGTCGGTGTGTATGTGAGGCTCTGACGGGTTCAAAATGGCGGCGGCGGCTCCTGTGTGAGGAGGGGGAACCGCGTCCGGCCGGGGGGCGGCGGCGCCGGGGGGGCACCGCGCGGGCGGCTCGGGGCGGGCGGCGCCGGCCGAGCTCCGGCGCTCGGCGGCGGGGGGGGTGCGGTGGTGGTGGAGGCGGCGGCGGCGGCGGGGGGACGCGGGCCGCGGCGGCGGGGGGCGGCCGGCGGGGCTGTCAGCGCCTGCTGCCCGCGCCGAGAGCGGCGGGGCCGGGGGCGCGGCGGGGCCGGGGCGCGATCGCTGCTGACCGGGGGGTTTCTCCTCCTCCGTCTGTTCTGTTCTCCCCCCGCCCCCCCCGTGCCGGCGGTAGAAGAGGACAAAGGCGCAGGAGAGACCTGGTGAGCACCGCGGGGGTCACCGGCGAGCCCCGAGTTTTTGCGGGGTCCCGGAGCGGGAGCGGGCGCGGGCGGGTCTCCCCTTGCCGGGCCCCGGGAGGCCGCGTCGGGAAGTTGGGGAGGGGGCGGCGGGTGCCGGCTGACAGCTCCCCGGGGACCCTCCCTCCCTCCCGCCCGCCTCCCCTCCTGCCCCGGCGGGGCCGGGCTGGGGTGGCCCGGCGGGCCGGGGGTTGCCCCCTGCCCCGCGGCGGGGCCGGCGCGCTGAGCTCCGCTTGTCCGGTTGTTTATAAACAGAGTTCAGCAAGTGTGGGGAAACTGCCGCCCTCGGCCGAGCCGGGAGCCCTGGTGCCGTGGTTCCAAGGGAGGCAGGGGTGGGGAGGGTGCTGGCGGGACTGGGAATGCTGTGCTGTCCAAGCGGGGGTCGGGAGGAGCAGGATGGAGCTAGTTCTCCCTGCGTGCTCGTAGCGGTTCTGTAAACACTACGAGAGAGGTGGCGGATCCCCTTCCTCGATCCCGTTCCCCGATTCTCCTCGCCGAAGGTCCGACTTAGGCATAGTCCTGGGGATTAAGAGCCGTGCCATACCCAGGCTTTCGTTGGTTTCTGTCCCTTTAAAAAAAAAAGTGTAGGTGCCATCTGACGCCCTGGGAGGTTTTCCCGGGTTGGTGTGTGGTGTCACAAGGTGGTACATTTGGAGAGTTCAGCATTTAGGTCTCCTCCAGCCAGGAATTAGATCTCTAACTGCTTCCCTGCTTGGGTGATGTATGTAGGAGATCCCACATGCCTTCCCTGCTCGTGGGAGATGTCCTGTACCACTGTAGTTTCTCCCAGGTGCCATGGTACAGGATATCCTGAGGACAGTGATTGTGTTGTTTGGAGAAGTTGGCTCTCCAGTATTTAATTTTGGAGAAGCCGGGGTTTTACAGCGCCTTCCCTGTTTTTTATCCCACTATGGGCCAGTGGAGCTGCTGGTGGTAGTGTGGAGCCAAGGTGGGAGACCTGCAGCTCCTGTTGTGTAACAGAAGAGCTGGTGAAGTCATGTACCCTGACATTTATTCTAAGTTAGAATAGGAGCCTTAAAAGTTGGGCTTGGCTCATCCACTGCATTCTCTCAGCCCCCAGAGCAGGTAGGGGTTGGCCCCAAAAGGAGAAGGGAAGTGAGGGGTGTGGGTGTCCCTGTGCCCTTTTTCACTGTTTGCCTCTGGCTTCCAAGGAGGAAGAGGACGATGACAGCAGTCCTGGCGTGTCCTTCTCGCTCTCCTCCGAGGAGTCGGAGATGGAGCCCGAGGAAGAACGGATCCGTTACAGCCAAAGACTGGTCAGTAGTGGCCTTGAAACAATCCTCTTCTAGTGTTGGTTCTGTTGCAGCTGGAGGAGGGAAAGGCTGTTCCTGGCAGCAGGGTTGAACAACCCCAACAGGCTGGTGGTGGATGGATGCAGCCTGCACAGAGGTGTGGGCTTGGCTTAGTGGCTTTGTGGGTCCTTTTGTGTCACCAAATTTGTCCTAATTAAGGGAATTTGGCTGCTGAGCTCTGGAAAGAGGGGTTGGAGGCTGAAGCTGGGAAAGGAGCTTTGGGATAGGAACTAGAAACTGGTGTCAGTGTAGTTTCTCTGTCACAACAGAGTTTTTTCTGTGTGTCTGTGACAAGCACAGGACCTGAAACACTGTGTGTTACCAATCTTGATTTGAGTGGTTGTGAAAGCTGAGGGAACCAGCTCCAGCTTCAAGCTCCAGTTTACCTATGCCTCTTCCCAGTGTTTTCTTCTGAAAGGAGATGTTCCAGCATTCAGGTCCCAGTCAGGCCCTGTCAGGAGCTCTGGTGTTTGTACTGGGAGACTGCATGAATCCAATGGTCTGGAAATTCAGCTATAACTGGGAACAGCTTGGGAGCTCTGCTCTTAGAGTCTGAGGTTATATTCCCAGAGATGCCATGGCAGGAGGGAAGCTGCTGTGCCTCCCACGCTGTTTTGAGGCAGTTGCAAGCCCCCAGGGAGGGCAAGTGGCAGCTCTGTGGTGGAGTCCCTCTCTGAGTCACAGCAGTACCTGTATCCTCACCTTCAAGGTGCTGCCCATAAAGGTAAATCCTTATCCTTTAATTCCCTGGAATCATTTGGTGTGAGGCTGTGTGGTTCTTGGCATTAAGCTTTGTCCTCAAGATGAGCAGTTCTGGGTGCTGGGGAGTTCCCAAGTGCTTCGGTGGATGTTTTAATTTGGCATCAGCAGCAGTCCCACCTCCTTCCTCATCCTGACACATTTATTCCCACAGCTGTGCAGGATGCAGCCCAAGGTGCTGAGTTGACTGGGGAGTGATCCAGGACTAACCCAAAACATCTGGCAGGTGAAGGGGGCTATCAGCCAGGAACTTGTCAGTTTAAAAATGCTTATCATCTCTCATATAAAAATCAGAAGGAGTTGGTGTCCTGGTGCAGGTGGGCTGGGCTCCAGCAGAATGTGCTAAGCTGGATAAATGCCTGCAGGCTGATGAGCTCCATGTGCTTAAAGGGTTTGGGAAGGCACATGGGCAGCAGGGTGAGGCTCACCTGGACTTGTGTGGCCTCTTGTGTGTGTGTTGTCTGTGCTGGCCTGAGGCCCAGGGAGGAGGCATGACCCCTGTGTGGTGGGTAAGGCTTAACTCCTACCTCCTGCCATGCTTTTCCTGGAAACTTCCAGCTCATTATGTGCTCCTGCTCTGTCAGTGACGCTCTCTTGCTGAAGGACCCTAAAAAGATTATTATTTTTCTTCTGTAGAGCATTCTTTGACTTACTCGAATATCCCATATATACCTTGGACTTGGGAGCTGGGTTAGTAGGCCTAAATGAGAAATTCGAAGTAGGGAAGTAGTGAGCTGGTGGTACAGTGTGTTTCTGCTGCTGTCAGCTGTGTGACTGGGACTCAATTAGCAAAAAATAAACATATTTTTTAAAAAACCAATCCAGGTGTGATAGTAGTTCTACCAGCCAAACAACCTGGACCAGAATAGTGTATGGTGGTGAAGGAGCTGAATTAATTGTGTGGTTTGATGGTACCAGCTGAGATGGCAGAGGCTGTTTGTTCTCTGGTGTTTCAGGTAATTACGATAACAGTATCTTTCTCCTGACCAGTTTCTATCAGGCCATAGAGGAAATCTTGAGTGTTCTGTGTTACTTTGTTTAGTTGGCACTAATGTTGATTTCCCCTGCTTCAACAAAAATCCGATGTGTGTCTGTTTTGTGAATGAATTTATCAGTGTTGGTGAAAGATTTGGGTTTGGAGGAGAATTTCACCTCTGCTTCAGGTGTGGTCACGTTCCTGCAGGAATTCTCTGCCAGGTCACACATGCCTGTGTGGCACAATGCCACTTTGATTAGGTGGCTTGCAGCGCCCTAACTGTACATTCTTCCTAGTTCAGGCTCTGCATTGATGACTCCCAGGATAGCACAGGCCTGGGTGAGTTGCTCTGGACTCAGGGATATCACTGGGAGGATGTCTTGGATGCACCCATCCAAGGCCATCTGTGAGAGAAGCTGTGTCCTGCTGAGCTCTGGGAGGCTCATACAGGCAGTGGGTGATGCTGAGTGTGGAGAGGACACAGAGGAGCAAGTTATGGGATATCCATGCTCCTCACCCA